TCATATACATAAAATAAAAATAAAAAGCAGAAAGATATGGTCACCCCATTTTATAGATTGGGGAGCATCAGGTTCATATGATGGCTTGTGTGCTTGGGTGATAGCCACAGCAGTGAGTGGCCCAGTTGGTCCGGGGATCGAGTTCTCCACCTTGGTTCACTGTGACTGATGGAAAGGATAGTGTGGGGCCAGCTCACCTTGTCTTCCTGCCACTTTCCCTCTCCTGCTTGATGTCTGTCCCTGCAGTCTGTTCTTTTCTTGACTCTGCCTGCTGCTCCTCTCACTGACTCCATTTCTGTCCATCTGGCCACCTTGCTCTTGTTTTGTGGAGAGTACACAGTCCCTGGTGGTGGCCTTGTTTCTTCCTGTCTTCTGCCTCCAGTTCCTCACATAGACACCAGCTCATCGCTCTGACCACCTTACCTCAAACATCAGCCCTGCCCTCCATCCCTCCTCACCCAACTTGTTTCTGTATCACATATTACTGCCTGCCCTGTTTTATATTATCCCACTTATAAAAAAAAACAAACCCTAGAATCACACCTTTGCCTCTGGATTGCAAGCTCCATGAAGACAGAGATTCTGCCTCTGTTGTTGATTCACCACCATCCACCCCTTGCCTTCACTGGTAGGCATGAAAAAATAGCCCTGAGTGCAGGATGTGACAATCATGCTATCTCGAGGTGTGCTTCTGCGTTTCTCCCTGCTTTGGGATGAGCTGCAGGACATTTTGTGTAGGTAAATGCTGCTGCTAAGCCTTAATGTAACCACCCAATTCAGCTGGCAAGGCCACCTTCACTCCCGCCAGACCCTCTATTGATGCTTTCTAACTGTATCAGGGGCTGCTGGATGATGTCACTGTAATGCATTTCGGGAATGGCCATGTGGTTTATACACACTTGAGTTGCTTTGAATGCAAACCTGACATCATACCGAAGGCAGCAGTGAACAACATATGCACAGCAAACAGGCAGAGACTGTCTTATTGATTAACAGATGAGGCCTCTATTATCGATCAAAGCTTGGTGAGGAAATTTATCACTTTTAATTTCAGGGCTGCCAAATATTTCTGCCTCTGAGCCAGCCATTACAGAGACAATTTAAAGGCATGGCCTTCTTGGGAGAGAGGGTTTCGTCTGCCCCCCTCTTGTGACCTCACTCTGGAGAGCTGGGGTTGGGGGTAAGAGTCTCTTGGGGTGGAAGGACCATTTCAGGAATGGGGGCTAGCGGTGGGAGCCACTGTCAGTGGAATAAGGAGGATGACCCAAAGTCCCTTGGGGACAGGGACTTTCACACACTGAGCTCAATATCGTGACCTTAGCAAGTGGGGTGGAGTGAAGGGGATGTTGAAGGCCACCAGATGTGGTCAGGCTTGGGCCGAGGCAACAGCCTTTTACTAGATGGTATGTGCTGGTCTATTTTTCATCTTCATCTGAACCTAGGTGATGGTGTATCGCCCTTCATTTCCTCCCTCCCTCCTTCTTTTTTCTGCTCATCTGTCAAGAAAATTAGGTGCTACTTACAGCCACATCGATGACTGTTTCTAAGAACCCCTCTATGCCACATCCCTTTGAAGCCCACAGCACTATCAGGCTCCTCACTCATGGGTCTCCAAAGCCATGGTCCAGCTCACAAGTTGCTTGCCCCTCCCAGTCTTCTGCAGGGAGCCGGTGAGAACAGATAGAACCAGAGAGAAACGCAATTCAAATCAGATCCTTTGCAGATCTACAGAAAATCACTGATGGCCAATGATTTAGGGAGAGGGGCAGTTGCTCGATGTGAGGTTCTGGGACTTCATTCTTTCTGCTATTTGAGGCACTGCCCGTGTTTTGCCCATACATGGATGAAAGTGATCCTAGCTGCCACCTCTGGATACATAGACACTGCTTTGCCATCAGCCCTGATACAAACATTCTTGGCTCTGTTTTCAGAGCTCTGTAAGCCATGGGCCAGGTGCTTGCCCCAGAACATCCTGTAGCTTGTGGGATGCCCATTGGTCACCATATATTCTCCTTGTCTCCAAGTGAGAGTCAGCCACAGTCACCAAGGCAAACGACTAAAGCATTTCATATCCCCTCACAGTGTTTTGGCACTTGTTTTTTTTTGGTCAATTCCCATTCACTGAGCACATACTACGGTGTAGCCTTTTTGTCATTGGGAATGTGAGTGATGGAGGCCAAGGCCCTCAGGTTTCAGGGTCAAAAAACTTTCATTTGTGTTTAAGTCTCTGTGTTTTGAGTTATACTTCTTAAGGCATTGTCCTAGCTTGCTTTCTATTACTGGGATAAAACAAAGCCAGTGTGGGGAAGAAAGGGTTTATTTCATCTGACATCTTCCAGTCACAATCCATCATTGAGGGGAGTCAGGGAAGGAGCTCAAGCAGGAACCTGGAGGCAGGAACTAAAGCACAGACAATGGAGGAACACTGCTTACTGGCTTGCTCCTCTGGCCTGTGCTCAGCCTGCTTTCTTACGCAACCCAGACCCACCTATCCAGAGGTGGTACTGCTCACAGTGGGCTGCGCCCTCCCACAATACTCAGCAATCAAGAAAATGCCTTACAAACATGGCCGCAGGCCAATCTGAGAGAGGAAATTCCCTAATTGAGGGCCCCTCTTCTCAGGTGTGTCAAGCTGACACTAGAAGCTATCCAGCACAGGCAGAGATTTGCAAACTTTTTTTTTAGACAGGGTCTCCCCTATGTAGCCCAGGCTGACCTGGAACTCACCATGTAGCCCAGGCTCATCTTGAACTTAAGAACCTTCTACTTCATTCTCCTGAGTGCTCAATAACGAATGTACACAGCCCTGCCTGGTCTCAAACTTAAAAAGAAAAAGTAGTTGGAAACATTTTTCCAAATAGAAGGGAATGTGGAACTTTCTGTGTTAGCCATAAGGCATCTGCAGGTGGAACCCTGAAGAAGTTGAAGATAATAGGATTAAAGTAAAGGCTCTGAAATCAGGCTGCTAGGATTTACACCTGCATCTCCTGTTAACCCTCTGTTCCATGTGACAGCGGGCAAAGTCCTTAACCTCGAGCTTGTGGTTATTCATCTGCTAAATGGGGGTAATAGTAGTAATACTTCAAATGATTATTATTAGGACTTAATGAAATGATGCATATTCCGCACTTAGCATCGTGCCTGGGATATAGTAAACGCCTGGGGAGCCCGAAGTGGAATGAAAGCAGCACTAGTGGCTACAATGTGCCCCAAAGTAGTCTGGCTCTTACAAGATACAAATGCATAGCTAAGACCCACAGACACATATAAGAAGTGTTCAGACACATTGAAAGGTCCAAAGCAGATTGGAAATGGTGGAGCAGTGAGGGACTGGAGGGCTTGGGGTATGTTTGCATACTCTAGTCTTGAACACGGAATGGTACAGGACTAGGCAGGAGAAAGACTGGCCTTTGTTGAAGCACAGAGACTCATGGAGAGTCAAGCAACGTCCAGACAGGTGCTAAGGACAGCGTTCCTGTGGAACCCGATGGTTCACTGAATTGGGTTATGGAAGACCCTGAGGTAATGTTAAAGAATTGAGAACGAGTTCGAATTACAAGCTACTTGAGTAGGGAAATGTGAAGAATTACATAACCTTTGAAGATTCTGCATCTATTAGGGCAGGTCAGATAGTATAAAACCCAAACCTGAGCCTTCCAGTTTTCTGGGCATGACACTCACTGCAAAGGTTTAGAGAGAAGGGGACTATCCATCCACAGTGGAGAGAGACCTCTTGGAGACATTTTGAAGGAAAGACACCAAGACTTGAGACAGGCGGCCCTTAGGTGAGATGAGGAAGACTATTAAGGCAGTGGTGAGATGTTCTGGTTTATCTTGACACAGTGACTTTGTTGCTTTATAAGTAATGGTTCTAAGAAAAAGGATGGAGTAGCATCCCACTGAACTGGTTTTAGGCAGTCAATGTTTCCACCATGGACGAGGAAGATGCAGCTGTATACAAGATGATATGGTCTCTCAGACTGAGATCTTACTATGTGGCCAGGGAGAGTCAGGTCCATGAGCAGAATGGAATATGGCCAGGGCCATGATCTGGAGCATATAGGGTTCTGTGGAAGCAGAAAGATGAATCAGTTTGCCCAGCCATGAAGGCACAGGTATCAAGGCAGAGGCCTCAGTGATGACTAGATATTGAAGGTCTAAGAGATGAGGGGAGAGTGTTAGAGGCAGAGGAGGCATGGAAGAATGGGTGGCAATGAAGAGGAAGGCAGATCCTCAAGGGAGTCAGTGCAGCTCACTTTGGCTAGAGTGAGGTGTGAGAGACGAAGCAGGAACGATAGTACACTGAGAAGGAAGACAGTACACACATCCCAGGGAGGAAGTTAGATGTAAGCCTCAAAGTACCATCGAACCTTTCAGGGTGTTCACCTTCTTTTTTGGAGACAGGGTCTTACTGAGCAGCCCTGGCTGGCCTGAAACTGGCTCTGCTAGATCAGGATGGCCTCAAACTCACAGAGTTCCTCCTGCCTCTGCCTCCCAAGTGCTGGGATTAAAGGCATGTGCCACCAGGCCTGGCTCTTCCAGGGGTATTAAGTGGACAAATGTGGGTCGGGATTTGGAGTCACTGATGAGTTAATTTTGCACATATTGAGTTAGAGGTGTTGGTAGGCATCAGAGTACCTCATTAGAGCCCTGTGAAGTACAAGGCAACGGGTATGTCCCTCCTTGCTGGTGTCCTTTGCCCCTGTCCGTCCACCCAGTAGAACTGGCCCTTCAGAATGCTTCTTCTTTGTAAGACATCTCATCTGGACTCCATCCTCCTTCATCTTAGTTATGCTGATTTTATTTGCTGTTCTCTGGGAGACTTGAGTAAGCGGTCACCTGCCTAAGGCAGAGCTGGGCTAGCTGCAGGGGCTGTGGATTATTTCTGAGTCAGGATCTTCACAAGTGTCCAGTCCCCCTCCACCGCAATGTTGGGACCTAGGATGCTCCATACCCCATTGACTACAGTTCTAGTGGTGACCACTTCTTCTTTCTTTCAGCGGGTGCCAAAGCCTTCGTGTGTGATCAGTGTGGCGCCCAGTTCTCAAAGGAAGATGCTCTGGAGACCCACAGACAGACCCATACTGGTGAGTGGCCCTGACTCCATTTTCTAGACTACAGTCTGATTGTGCAAAGGAAATCCAGGGACTTTGTGGCATCCTCTTCTGGTAAACACAGTATCATCATGTCCATGGTTGTTGTGGGTTGGGATGGGCTTCTGCCATGTGCAGTTTTCTCCTGTGGAACTGGACAGAAATTTACAGATGGGACAGTGCCCCATGAGAACAGATGGGTTGAGTTAGGCCAGGATTCTATCTATAACAAGCCAGTGAGCTGCCGTCTTCCCGAGATGTTGTGTATACTCTTGCTGAGGCCTTAGGGAGTCTCTGGTGTTTCCCCTAGACAATGGTCAGAAGCCTCTCTCCACAACCTCTCTGAAGAAATTCTGAAGCTCTTTTATAGCTGTAGTGACTGGTCCTCCCTCTGTAAAGATCAAGTCAGTCTTGAACACATCAGTCTTCACACAGGGATGTATTTGAACAGTTTTAACTAACAGTGATAGAGATCTATTGGATTCCAAAGAAAGCATTGATTTCATAGCATCAGCATCAGCTCATCACTGTGATGGACAACCCTGCTGTTATCATGGCCACAGTTCACACTGGTTGGATGCTTACTATGTATCAAGTGCTGTTTTCTTGATTAATTGTTCAGTAACCTCGTATGCTAAGAGGGAGGCTAGTCTTATGTCACAAATGAGGAAACTGAGGCTCACAGGAGGGCAGAGAAGTTGATAAAGTCAAGGGACATGTGCAGTAAAGTCTTATAGTTCTGAACTTAGACTGCCTGGACATCATCCTAATTGGGCCACTTTTTAAGCAGAACTGTGGATTATTTACTTAACCTTTTTTCATTTGGGTTTCCACATCGATTAAGAAAGTGGAGCAATGATAGTATCGACTTCATCACATTGTGTTTTATGGGGATTAAATAAAATATTTTACTTCAGTGCTTCACAGAGTTTTTGGCTCATAGTAAGCATTCAATAAATAGTAGTCAATCAATTTAATTGAATAATGGTGTGTACAGGGCTGTTTGAGCATTTAGGATATGGTAACATACAAGACAGACATTTTTGACTCTTGAGAAACTGAGGTTCTCACTGGGAGGCAATATTAACAAAAAAGCACATAATACATGATACCATGTGCAACAAGAAAAGATACAGCTGGGCGAGTGGCAGAAAACGATAGGAAGGAAGTGAGATTCTGAACAAAATGTTCAGGGAAGAACAGTCCTTTGGGATGATGACATCTGAACAGAGGCCTAAAGTGAGGAGGTGACTGCTCGGAGACCTCTGGGAAGAGTGCTTGGCAGAGGGAATGGCACTTGCCCTACAAGGTTCAGGGGGCCGCATGAAGAGCAGTTTGACAGAGCAGGGACCAGAGTGGCTGGTGAGAGTGGAATGTGGCAGGTCTTTCAACCCCAGACTCTGGTTTTATCCTGTAAGTGCTAGGACTACTTTGAAGGGGTGTTTTTGTTACTTTTTTCATCATTGTGACAAACGGAAATACCTGACCAAACCAGGTTAAAGAAGGAAGGGTTTGCTTTGGTTCACAGTTTGAAAGTCCAGTTCTTCATGGAGGAAGGTGTGGTATAAGAGCCTGAGCCTGCCAAGTCAATTATATCCACAGCCAGGAAGCAGAGAGAATGCTGGTGCTCACTCACTTTCTCCTTTTTATTCGGTCCGGAACCGCAGTCCATGGGATGGTGCTACCTACATTCAGGACAGATCTTCCTTCGTTAGTTAAACCTTTCTGGAAATTTCTTCACAGATGTATTAGAGGCATGTCTTCTAGGTGATTCCAAATCCAGATAAGTGAGTAACCATCACAAGGAGAGAGAAAATATTTGAAAATCATATATATGATCAAGAATTTATGGTTAGAAAATACAAAGAACTCTTACGACCTAAAAATACAAATACAAGTAACCGAATTAGAGAATGAGTAGAGAAAAATGTCACATAATTCCAAAGATCGACAATCACGAAAAGACGGTCCACACCATTGGCCATCAGGGAGATGCAAACCAAACCACAACAAGACACCACCAGGATGTGGCTGGAGTGAAAAGCATAGAAGTGGCAAGTGCTACTGAGGACGTGGAGCAATCAAAGCCCTCCTGTTACTGGTGGGAAGATAATACACAGCGACTTTGGAGAAAGAGTTGGCAGTTCCTGAGAGTTTCAAATATAGACTCACCATATGACATGGCAGTTTTGGACAGTCTCCTGTCCACTGGGAGAAATGAAATGCACATCTACACAGAGACATGTACATGAGTATTCAAACCCCTAGTCAAATGGAAACAATCCAGTGTCAACTACTTAATGAACAGACAGATAAAATGCAGTATACTTATGATGAAATATAATTTGGCCATAAAAAAGACAGGGGTAGGGGCTAGAGAGGTGGCTCAGCAGTTAAGAACACTGGCTGCTCTTGCAGAGGACCCAGGTTCTGTTCCCAGCACCTACATGGTGACCAACAACTGTTCGTAACTGCAGTTCCAGGGGATCTGATGCTGCCTTCTGGCCTCTGCAGGTATTACTCACATGGGCACATTTACATACATACAAGCAAAATAGTCATGTACATTAAAATATAATGGTATTAAAAATAAATTTTAAAAAACTGAAAAACATGCTGTAGCGTGGGTGAAACTTAAACGCATGCTCTTAAAGAAGCCAGACACAAAAGATCATATGTGATATGGTTCACATTTATATGAAATGTCCAAAATGGGCCAATCTATACAGACCCAGAGTAAATTAGTAGGTGCCAGAGGGCTGTAGGTGTTGGGATAGATGGGGATTGGCCACTAAGGGATTCAGGGTTTCTTTTGAGGAAGATGGACATGTTCTAGAATTGACTGTGGTGATGGCTACATACTACTAAAATTCATTGAACTATATACTTCAAAAGTATATGTATACTGTATGATATGCATATTGTAGCTTGTAAAGCTGTGGGAGTGTGTGTGTGTGTGTGTGTGTGTGTGTGTGTGTGTGTAGGTAGGTAGGTAGATAGATCTATACAGACACAGGTTTACTGAGATATTTATAAATATTTGTTTATACACATACAAACATTTCTAGAGAAGGGAGAAAATAGTCCCTTGGGAGGATGGGGGCGTGGCTGTGGGGATTAAGCCTTATGATTACTAAGTATATACTCTACTACTGAGCCACATGCTTAGCCCCATCACAGTATTTTGAGTATGACAATGACCTGGCTTGATTTATCTGTTTGGAAGAGCACTTTGGGACCCGTGTTGGGAATTGACCATAGAGAGTATTCCAGTTGTTAGCTTCTGTGTAAGACACCAAAACAGCTGTAACTCAATAAGTGTTATTACCACTGATAGTTCTGAGGGTTGGCTGGGCTCAGCTGGGTGGCTTTCACTTGGGGTCTCTTGTGGCAGCCATTGGGTAGCAGCTACGGCTGGCATCCTCTCAAGAGTCCACTGGGGTGTGTGTCCGTGATGTCTTCTCCATGCACACATCTGACTTAGAACTCCTCCACGCAGTCTTTCTGCTGCAGAGTAGCCTCTGTCTGTTTCTATAGCAGACTTAGCACCTCAGGGCTACAGAAACCAGGAAGCAAACAGTGCCAGCCCTGGTAAAAGCCAGGAAAACAACTGGGAACGTGCAGCCACACTTCTGCTGTACTTTTTTACTGATCAAAATTGTCACAGGTCAGCCCCAGATTTAAGGCAGTGGGAACCTAGACTCCCCTTCTCACCAAGGAAGTAGAGAAAATATATAGGGAAAGAGGAACTGATAGTAGCCATCTTGGATGCAAGTGAGGCCTAGTGGGGAAGACGGAAGACCAGGTTTAGAGCCTAGTACCATTTTCTTATTGCTGGACCACATAGAACCAAGAATCCAACTCTGAGAACTCTAACCTGGGGTCACTGAGGAGAATTTTGAGGTGACTTTGTCATGAAGCTTCACTCTGTCCATCTAGATTAAATTTGCAGCAGTAAGAACCAAGCTTCTTCTAAGCCAGAAGCTGGGAAAGGTGAGTCCTGAGGGGTGAGCATCAGGTAGATTATTCCCAGGTAGACGCTCAGTAGTTATCTCCTATGTGCCTGGCACATCCATGTCTGAGCCATGGTAGCAGCCAAGCCATGCTCCAAGAACACTGGGATCAAGGGTGGTCCATGAACTTTGCCTTCTCCCAGAGGTCTTATGGTTGGAGCCTCCCTGCCAGCAAAGAGGGGCTCCACTTGAGAGAGGTAAGCTATCTACTGACCTGCTTATGTGGAGGTAATATGTGATGGATACTTAATGTATCACATGTGACTTTCTCAGTAAAGATTGAGTAAACGGAGCTCTGGCAAGGGTGAGGAATGGAGGGACTGGATGAGAAGCCAAGGCAGAAGTCTGGGTGGCGGCTGTGAGCAAACTACCCAGCAGCTGAGAGCATTGGTTACAGCGAGCAGCCACTGTTTGGTGCTGAGGGTAAACATGGCAGTAGCCTCATGCAGTGTGGGGTTGACAGTGAGGCAGTCAGTGTCACACTAGAGTCTCTTCCTGATACACGCAGGACTCTGTTATCACTTGTGGTAGTACTTCCTGATGAACTGTGTTGCACATCTCAGGTTGCCCTAATATCAATGAAAGAACATGTGCCCACAGGGCTGGCATCCTCTGAAGAGTCCACTGTTTTAGAAAGAAAGCCCCAGGAGCTGGGGCTCAATTGCTAGAGCACTGGCTAGCAGTTTGAAGCACTGGGTTCTGTCCCCCAAACCATACAAACCAAGCATAGTGGTTGGTGCACACTTGGAATCCCAGCATCTCGGGAGCTAGAGGCAGGAGGGTCAGAAGTTCAAGATCACGTTCAGCTACATAGTGATTTTGAGGCCGGCTTGGGATACATGAGACCCTGTCACAAACACACAGGCACACACAAGCATAGACACAGACACAGACACAGACACACAAACAGACACCACATGCACACACACACACACACACACACACACACACACTCACGTGCACGCACATGCAAATAAATAA